GTTGATTCTGCGTCGCGATCTGCTCTGAACAGCTGAAAGCCCGGGAGACTCAACGCGCTGTCCGGAATGGCGTCTTTCAGCCAGGTTTCCGTGAAACACAGAGCAGCAGAGTTAGAAAAATCCTTATTTGTCCGGGAGAGCAGAAGGAGCTCGTCCATTTTGTTGGGTAGAGAGCGGAGGTTCGCCAGATGGATGCTAGGCAACGGCGTTCTGAATCCGCGCTGCCTTAGCTTCACGAGCGCGCCGGCTCTCTTCCCCCGTCTGCACGTCCTGAAGCGTTTGATCAGAACCACAGCTCCCCCGAATACGATGTCCAGCAAAACATCAGAATAATCGAAAACCGGTGAAATATCGGGTAGTGTGTACTTCCGAATGTCCAGCAATTCGTCTCTGGTGAAACTGATTACAGGGATATAACTAAAGACAGGACAAACTAACAAAAACATAAAAACAACTGTGGAGCACGCCACGGAGGCAGCCATCACCGTCTGCGCCATCGTGAAGCCCTATTACATTCAGAAATAATGTAGGCTAAAATGCCGGTAGGCTAAAGCAAAAACTTTACAAACATTATAAACACATTAGTTATTAGTTTCTCTCCACAACAAATCCTCTAAAGTTAAGGCTATGCGTTTAGGCTATAAAAACGTCAAACAAATTAATTTAAGGTGAAACTGATGACTACCTCTCTCATTCGGTATGAATTCAAATGTTTACATATTCGCGACGTATCTAGATGCTAAAATATTATTTATTATAGGCTAGGCTTTGTACATTCATCGATGTAAAACATCATCCTTCACTTCGGCTATATCAGCACAGTGAGGCGCTGGTCACACTGAATGCAACAGATTGTACAACGGAGCAGTGCAACTTTTTATTTTTCTTTAACTGTATTTTAATTTGATAATGAACAGGCTGCAATGTCGCAAAAATATGTTGTGTCTGTGTGCGTGTGAGGCGCCGGGGCGATATCGTACCAACGCTGGTTGGTTATACAGATAGAAGGAAGACATCATTCAAAACTGTCAAGCTTTTGCAAAATAAATAAAACTGTAAAGATTTTAAAATAAAGAAAACTATTTTCTGCCGTCCTGTTTTCCTTTCCGAGAACTTTGGAACGCGTCGCAATGAACTGTATCTCACACATATTTTTCTTTCGTTTTGTTAATCGTTGTTAAATTGAAATATATTTTGTGTATATGCTAATATATTCCTTTTTTATGTAAGCCTATAGTTTTATTCTGTTTTCTCCATTCACAGAATCGCTGCAGGTGCGTGTGATCTGTTGAATCCATCTTACACTGTCCTTGGATAAACTAATGCCGGTGTTGTGCCCAATTCTGACCCCTGCTAAATTATTACCCCCCTAGTATTGGTAGCTTTAGGGTTAGGTGTGGGGGAGGGGTTAGGATTAGGGGTGGGGTTAGGATTAGGCAATCAGACAGAGATTTCAATGAGAGGGGTAATAATTTTGCAGGGGGTCAAAAATGGGCCCAACACCGGTGCATTGCCATTGCGACTTACCTATGATGAGTTCTTGAGCGTGGGCATTTCACTCGTTGGATGCGTCAGCGTCACATTTGCACAGGCCGTACTACTGGAATTCGTGATTGGTTGACAGCAAATTTCAAATATTAAATGGAACGATAAAATAACGTTATTAACCAGTTAATGGCCATTTCAAATTTTCGATTCTGTTCGGAACTATAACATTTGATTTTGTTTCTGGTTCTGTTCTGTCAAAATTTAGTTTGTTTCCATTTTCATTCCTTGAACCGGTTCAGAGCCCTGCTTGGAACATGAACTACACATGAGATAACTTACCAACGGGGTCGGGGCGGAGCTCATGTCGGACAACATCTCCAGGACGCTACGCACCATATGACTAGTAAGTCAAATCTCAAATAACTGCCCTGAGGACTTGTGTTCTACCCGCTTAAATGATAGAAGTACTTGCGCTGTCCAATCTATAAAGACTGTGTCGGTTACAGTGAGGAAAGCTAGACAAAGACAATGGAAAAACAAGAGCTATTTATACACAGACTAATGAGCTAACAAGGAACTAGGAAAAAAGATCAATGTGAATTTACATTTTTAAAACATTTACACTTCTGGAATATACTCAGGTCATCAACACATGGATGGGAAGAGGCAATTGTGGTTCAGTTCTGTGATAAGTTCTTAAAGTGCAATATATGAATTATTGTGAATAGCATTTAAAATGATATTACATGCAGTATTATGGCCAAGTTGATATAGTCTAACACAGGGTGTAAAAACATGAACTGAAGATTTTTCCCATATTACTTTTGTGTTAGGTGGCACGGCATGGTTACAATGTTGCTGTTGGTAAGTTACATTTATGTAGAACTTTTCTGGGTACTCAAAGCACTTTACATAGAAGGGGGAAATCTTCTCAACCACCACCAGTGTGCAGCATCCACCTGGATGATGCGACGGCAGCCATAGTGCGCCAGAACGCCCACCACACACCAGCTTATTGGTGGAGAGGAGAAGGAGTGAAGAAGCCAATCAGTATATTGGGATAAATATGAGGCCATGATGATGGACAGAGGCCAATGGGCAAATCTGGCCAGGATGCCGGGGTTACACCCCTACTCTTTTTCGAAGAACATCTTGGGATTTTTAATGACCACACAGAGTTAGGACCTTGGTTTAACGTCTCTGTGCTTTTTGACAGTATAGTGTCCCCATCACCATAATAGGGCGTTAGGACCCACACAGACCACATGCAGTATTTACTGAATGTGAATGGAGTCGTTCTGAGACATCAATCATCAGCTGTGAACACTGCGCTTTTTGGGGAATCCTGCCACAACAATCCTTTGCCAAATGATAAGTACACTATCGCGATTTTATTTTCTGTTCGATTAGTGTTCAAAACTGTGGGGAGACAGATTATATTATGTAAAATAGATATTTGATATAGAGTGCAATAAAGCAGGGAAATTAATCCGTTTAAAAATGCTATTATTCACCTCCTGTATGCTTTAAGTCTTCGACGTAGACCACATTTTAATCTTTGTTTTGATATCACAACAGATGGTGGTAATGAACAAATTTAGTTTGTGATCTCGTCAGAAGAAGACGCTGTGCTGCTTCAATACATTACAGGCTGGTGACTCGACAAACACGAAACGGAATGTAGCGTTTGATCGCGCTACACCGCTACTTGCTGGAAAAAGTAGTTAGCTACAGGAAAAACTACACTGTTTTAAAAGTAGCGGAGCTACCGTCACGCTACTGAAAAATGTAGTTAAGCTAGTAGCGTTCCGGCTTTTCTCCTGCTTTTAAGATAGCTTGATGGGAGGAGGAGACAGTGGTCCAGAAGCAGGCTGTAGCTGAGGAGATCTGCGAGAAGGGCCCGGCGCACATCCAGGGGACACCCCCTGCCGCACCTCCCGACCAGGGCAAATGCCAGAGGAGTGGACTGGGGGGCCTGGTGCCGCATGCCGGAGACGGGTAAGAGGGCAGCCAAAATTGCGTTTGTCGAGATGTAGCTTGAGAAGACGAAAGGTAAGATTCGTCTGATTCAGAAGCACTTGTGAGTCTCAATCCCCTTCGTTGTTGTTGAGATTTGGATATTAAAAAGAGAACATTACTGTTTCTTTGCCATTGTTACTTAAAAGCAAATAAAATACATTTTAGAGTGAACAAACCATTTATTATAATTTGTTTTTCAATTCTGCCATGTACTTTCTTTTCAAACACTATCATATTTTTTTAGTAAACATAACAAATGGCAGTAACAAGAGGCATCACAATTGTTTTTTATGTTATCTACATTCTACAATCTGCTGTTTTTCCAATACGAGCAGCAAACTTAAAGTACATAACAAATAAAGGTCTGTGTGATATGTGTAAATGTCAAATGTAAATAAAATTGCAGGTTAAGCAAAATATTTAAAATATTTTGAATTGAAAAAAAAAACTCTGTTGTGAAAAACATTTTACAAAAGGAATGTCTGTTTCCTTATCTTGTCACTGAACCCAGATTTTCACCGATTCATAAAGGAGTACATGCTAGCAGTGTCAGCGTTAGATGGAGTGTTTTGTGAACAGTGGGCATTGCTCACGGAGTATGATTGTGGTGTTTGGGGATGGGAGCGAAACATTGGGATGGGATGTGTCTGCATGTATGGTGCTGTGCTACATGTTTGGCGTAAGATGCCACTAAGACCTTGTTAGAAAACACTCTCTGTCTTGTTAAGAGAATGTTTCAGAGATGTCTCACCCCTCCTTTTTCTCCCGCTCTCTCATTCTTATATATACAACGCATTCTCTCTGAATCCCCCCTTCTGTATCCATCTCTCTCTCTTGATATTATGTTTTAAATATGTCTTACTTATATGCGAAGTATGCATGCTTAAATGTATACATTAGCTTCTCTTGGTTTAAAGGCCCCAATAAGGACATGAATGTTAGGACTACAAGGGTAAAGGAGTTCGAGAGAAACTCTGAAGACAGTTCAGCATTCTTCGCAAAAGTCTATTCCTAATATGTCCATGTTTTTCTGTACATGTGGCTATTTTATATAAACACATGTTCTTGGCCAAAGATCCTACGTGTATGTTATTCATATCCTCATTGGTTAAGAGGATGAAACTCCCCTCGACATATGCCTATATAATATCTGTATTTCTATGAATAAATTGAAGTATTGAGGATACATTTGACTGTGTGTTTTCTTACTTCCCGGCCGTCTATCTACACTTTAAAGTAACTGAGAATTCTTCAAGGTGGCAAAGAGAATTTACTGAGGGACCAAATTGTTATTCTTTATTAACAGACCTGATAGCAGTTGTCCCACAACCTGCTCATTTGATCTTAAATGTTCCTCTACTAGTTTCATGAGGAGCCTCTCTTTTTTTGCAGTTGTTGTTCCATCCAAACATTTCGAGCTTCCTTTATCTTTTCCAAAAATGACTGCTGCTCAGATGACCACACATGTATTGCTTTTTCATATCGGGAAGTCATTCTCCATGTAGGTCCCACAAAGGCATTGCGAATTATAATAAAGCAAAACTTGCAATTATCCTGCATACTTGGAGTCCACACCTAAAGATAAGCACATTTTTTACTACAATATAAGTAGCAGTTTGGTTGTAATTAAAATGCTTTTAATGATGCTTAAATAGAAGGTATTGATACTGTAGAAACTTGCAGAATTTGTGCAAGTGAGAAAAAAATAATTTTCCTTAAGACCATGCCGTTGTCATAAGGCTTGGCAATTGGACGTTCTCCCATAAATTAGTGAATAATGCCATAAAAATCCTCCAATCTGCATTTCCTCAAACACTTCTTTAAGAGATCCGAAATAATCTGTACACGATACAACAGACATCTAAAAATCAGTAAATGCTTTCTCTGCTAACAGAGTGCTCACAACCACCGGGTGCAGCTGGTTTTTGATGTGTTCAGTCCAGCGTTTGCCAGTTACTCAATTTTGTTTGCCAGTGTGTTAGTATCACTGGTATCTGCTGTAGCTATTGTGAGAAGACATTCTGTTGTTTCACTTACATCTCACATCAGTTGCATTCAGTGTCCATCAGAATGCAGCATCATATTCAAGCCAGTTGCGAGTTTGCTACCATGAAGACATAAAAAAAGAGCTATTAGTTGTAGGCCTAGTACTTAAGTAGATTAGTACTGTTAGTAGATTACTGGGAGAGTAACAGAAACCACACAATGCTTAAACAAGAACCGACGAGATATGCGAGGAAAACATAATGTGCAACAGGTGCTAATCATAGGTAACAGTATACTTCACTTTTGTAGGTTCTCCATGCAAGTATGTTATACGTACGAGCTTCCGTTTGTGGATGCACAAAGAAATGACTGTGATTGAGGTGATAATGAATAAAGCCATGCTGATTTAGTCTTTAAAAGCTGGCCAGTCATCACTGTGTAGTGCTTTCTCAACACACAGACTTCTCAACAGTGGGAAACAATTTTCCAGCTGCTCTTTGTTTTCACTTTGAGTACAGGTCTTCTTCACCTTCTTTTGACTTCCATCATGCCAAACACCCATGCCCTTCTCCAGGTGCATACTGTATTTAAGGGTAATATAACAGAAACATGCAACTAGTCATAATGCTAATTATCACACAGTCCATTACATCATTATTATTATTATTTTGTATAGAAACAAAAATATATAAACACTTTCCGCTTGTGGCAAAACTTGCTTTCATCCAGGACTAATCCCTTGCTCCACCAATTCTCATCTTTCTTTCTCTTTGCATTTTTGTCTTATAGATTTAACATATTCTTTTACTTGTTGATGCATGTGTGTCTTTAATCAAATTTATCTTCAAACTTGCATTCTCTCATATTCTCATGTGGCATGAACCATCGGCCTCGTTTGTGTCCTATTTCTTCACCGCTACAAATAATTAAAGGGGTCCTATTATGCTTTTTCACTTTTTCAACTTTAGTTAGTCTGTAATGTTGCTGTTTGAGCATAAAAAAAGATCTGCAAAGTTACAAAGCTCAAAGTCCACTTCAAAAGGAGATATTTTATTTAACAGAAATCACTTTCTAAAAACTACAACGAACGACTCGTTTGGACTACAACGCATATTTTCCGGGATTTGTGATATCACAAATATCGACGAATGGGACGAGACCTGGTTGAGCTGCACTAGAGAAGGCAATGAGTGTTATCACTATGTCGGAGACACGCTAGCTTTCCCAAGGCAGACAAACTTAGAGTGATTACAATCATCCGGGTTTAAATCGCGCTCAAATTGATTTGATATTGACGCAATATTTGCACTGAAGCTCGCAGGCGGCTATGGTAAGGGCCGTGACATTTCCCGACCAATCACAACACACTGGCCCAGCTAACCAATTACAGCACAAACTGGCCCAGCTAACCAATCACAACACACACTGGCCCAGCTAACTAATCACAACACACACTGGCCCGGCTAACCAATCCCAGCACACACTGGACCAGCTAACCAATCCCAGCACACACTGGCCCAGCTAACCAATCCCAGCACACACTGGACCAGCTAACCAATCCCAGCACACACTGGCCCAGCTAACCAATCACAACACACACTGGCCCAGCCAACCAATCACAGCACACACTGGCCCAGCTAACCAATCACAACACAAATTGGCCCAGCTAACCAAACACAGCACACACTGGCCCAGCTTGGCCCAGCTAACCAATCACAACACAAATTGGCCCAGCTAACCAAACACAGCACACACTGGCCCAGCTTGGCCCAGCTAACCAATCACAACACAAATTGGCCCAGCTAACCAAACACAGCACACACTGGCCCAGCTTGGCCCAGCTAACCAATCACAACACAAATTGGCCCAGCTAACCAAACACAGCACACACTGGCCCAGCTTGGCCCAGCTAACCAATCACAACACAAATTGGCCCAGCTAACCAAACACAGCACACACTGGCCCAGCTTGGCCCAGCTAACCAATCACAACACACACTGGCCCAGCTAACCAATCACAACACACACTGGCCCAGCTAACCAATCACAGCACACACGGGCCCAGCTAACCAATCACAGAACACACGGGCCCAGCTATCCAATCACAGCACACACTGGCCCAGCTAACCAATCACAACACACACTGGCCCAGCTATCCAATCACAGCACACACTGGCCCAGCTAACCAATCACAACACACACTGGCCCAGCTATCCAATCACAGCACACACTGGCCCAGCTAACCAATCACAACACACACTGGCCCAGCTAACCAATCACAGCACACACGGGCCCAGCTAACCAATCACAGCACATTTCGTATTTCAGAAGGCGGGCCTTCATTTGATACAGGAACTATTCGAGCCGTTCATGCCAGACTGGGGAGAGAGGTGTTGAAATAATGTAAAATATGTGAAAAATAATGTGTTTTTCGAACAACCTAGTATGAGAGCCTGTTCTAGTACACCCCCAAAACAAAATCAAGACTTTGTAAAAGAGCATAATAGGACCCCTTTAAAAAAAAATCACAGCTATTTGGCTCTGCACTATAAAAATAATTATCACGGCATTAACAATTTCATTTGTTTTTCTGCTGTCACCTTGTGATATCCATCCTGTTATCTATTGAACGTTACAATGTGTATAGTGTCTGTGGCCCTCATAAAGATAAACCTTGTTTGTCTATGTATCCTAAAGGAAAAATATCAAATAACAATAGAAAAAAAATGGCTTGGAAATATGTATTTCACCAAGAATTTAACTCTGCATCCCGCTGACACGTTTTATAATTTGTGTGAGTTTTGCCTTTAATTTATTTCTTCTTCTTATTATTATTATTATTATTATTATTTTACAAGTTTGAATAGGACTCTTATTTCGGAACCGATGATCTTGGAAGAAAAGCATGTTTATCAACTGGAGGTTGGAAAAGGGGAAAAATAATAAGAATGGGAAAGTCAAATGAAAAGAAGAAAGCGGTGGCGGGTAAGCACAGCTGTGTTGTGAATGGACCAGAGTGGGGAGATTCTGATATAGTGGATAGTGAGGATAGTATGGAAACAAGTCAAGGAAGCGGAAGAATGAGGGAGAAAAGAGAAAATACTTTTGAAGGGATTAGAGCAAAGAAAACCAGGCGTAGTCGAAGTTTTGAAAGAGGAGTAGAAGAGAGTGACCATGAAAGTTTGAAACTTAAAATGATACTGAGATTCGGTGAGGAAAAGGGAATATCATCAATGAGTCCAGTGAAATTGACAACTATTTTGTGAAACCAGATTCGCGACATACATATGGCAAAGGTTTTAAGAGATGGAAATCTACTGATTGTTTGTAGAAATGAAGAGCAGAGGGAGAGGGCTGGCAGAATTAAGGAAATAGGACAATTTAAAGTAATAAATACAAGTCGTGTGGAAAGGGAAAATAAGTGGAGTAAAGGAGTGATTTGGGGAGGCCAAGGTATGTAAAGGCAGAAGGAGATGTGCCAGGTGTGGAGAAGATCATGATTATGGGCAATGTAATCATGAACAGCCAAAATGTTGCAACTGTGGGGGGAATCACAGTGTGGCTTATGGGGGTGTGTGAAGTGATGAAAAAGGAAAGGGAAATACAACAGGTAAGAACTCAAAATAAGATCACATATGCAGAAGCTGTGATGATGGTGAATCCAAGAGAAGGAAAGAATGAAAGAAAACGAGTGGAGAATCAAATCTCAAAAGAAGTAGAACAGGTAAATAAAGAAAAAGTATTGGTTGACTTAAAGAAACTAGTTATTTTCATTGCAGGGGTAGTTAATGCCACAATGGAGATTAAATCTAAAACAGAAAGAATACAAATAATTGTGAAGGCAACAGTACATCATCTAAATATCCGTGGGCTGACATGGGAGGAAGTAAGAAATGACCTCAGTGCTCAGGCAAGCCAGGATCAAGCATCGGTTGGATAATAGTAATAATGATCCTCTTGATGCCAATGGAATGCTAGAAGTTTGTTGGCAAATGGACAAGAATTAAAAAAATATATAGAAGAGCTTTCTAGCAAACCCAGTGTTATTTGTGTTCAGGAGACATGGTTGAGACCAAATTTAGATTTTAGACTAGGTGGATATGATTGTGATAGGTGTGATAGGAGGGAAGGAGTAGGGGGTGGGTGTGTTACATTTATTAGAGAAGATATTGCATTTAGAGAGATAGGAATAGGACATGAGCATGAATACATAGTCATAGAGATCTTGATGAAGGAAGGAAAGCTCATAATTATTAATTATTATAATCCTTGTAAGAAATTAGATCTGAATGGGTTAATGCAAATTGAAGGAATGGATGGAAATAAGAGAGTGATATGTGGGGATTTTAACGCGCACAGTACATTATGGGGAGGAACAAAAACGGATGTAAATGGAGGGGTGATTGAACAACTGTTAGAGGAAAAGGACTTGGTTTGTTTAAATGATGGGAGAAGGACCAGACTGGATGTACACACAGGGAATATGTCAGTATTGGATTTAACTTTGGTGTCAAATAATTTAGCAGGGATATGTGAGTGGGATGTCATTTATGAAACATCAGTGGGGAGTGATCATTATCCAGTTTTTTGTAGAATATTAATACAGGAAAATAAACAACGAGAGAAAAGAATAGGGAAGTGGATATTTAACCGTGCTAATTGGGAAAAGTTTAGTTTTGTTTGTGAGAGTGAATTAGACTAAATAGATTTAAGGGAAGATGTTGAGGAGATTGATAAAAAATGTAAAGCAGTATTGCATGAAGCTGCTAATGAGTCAGTTCCTAAAAGTAATGGACAAATGAAGAGGAAGGTGGTCCCTTCGTGGACAGATGAATGCAGTGCAGTTGTTAAAGAAAGAAAGAAAGCTTTAAGAATATTAAGAAGAACTCATAATTATCAAAACTTTATTAAATATAAGCAAATGCAAGCAAAAGTTAGGAAAATTATACGAAATGCAAAAAGACAAAGCTGGCAGAAGTTTTGTAATAAAATCGGTAGATCAACACCTGTGGGAGAGGTATAGGGCATGATTAAAAGCATGAGAGGAATCAGAAGAGAATGGAAATATCCTGTTATGAAGGCAGCAGCATCTGATGAAGAAAAGGCAGAAATGATAGCAAAGGCACTAATTGAAATTCATAGCTCAAATAATCTAACTGAGGAGGGAAAGAGAGGAAGGGAATGAGCAAAATCAGTTTATTCTGGAAGGCTCGAGAGGCGGAAGGAAACTAACAACACAATGGATGCTCCGTTCACTATGGCAGAAATGAAGAGGGCAATAGCAAGAGCAGGAATAACATCTTCTGGGAAGGATGAAATCTGCTACATAATCTTAAAACATTTGGGTGTTTTGGCATCTTTAAAACTATTAGGCTTTTATAATGAAGTTTGGGGAAAAGGAAAGTTACCTACTGGATGGAAAGAGTCAGTGATTATTCCTATTAGGAAGCCAGGAAAGGACCCATCAAATCCAAAGAATTA